TATACAACCCTATATTCAAAAACTCATAGTGACCCTATATACAACCCTATATTCAAAAACTCATAGTGACCCTATATACAACCCTATATTCAAAATGAAGCATTGCCCAGTCCCGTGCCATCCTCACAACGGTTCTTGTGTTTGAGCCCACAGTGCAGCCTCTGTGTCCATCGTCTCATGGAGGGTCTTGCTCTTTTTCACTCTTTTGGCTTCTTAACCAAGTGTGATGTCCTTCTCTAGGACTGCTCTCTCCTGATAACTTGTCCGAAGTACGTGAGACAAAGGCCCACCATTCTCACTTCTAGGGCACTTTCTGGCTATATTTCTTTCAAGACAGATCTGTTTGTTTTTTTGTCAATCCATGGTATCTTCGATATTCCTCCCCCGCACCATAATTCAAATGTGTCGATTCTTCTGCGGTCTTATCTATGCGTCGTCCAGCTTCCACACGCATATGAGAGGATTGAAAAGAACAGTTTTGCTCAGGAGCACCTTAGTCCTCCAAGTGACACCCTTACTCTGCAGTGCGTTAGAGAGACCTTGTGCGGCAGATGTTCCCGATGCAATACACTCACGATCTCTTGACTGGTACTTCCGTGAGCCTTGGTTGTGGATCCGTGTAAAATAAAACCCTTGACTACTCCTATCTTTTCTGTGTTTATCATGATTTTGTCCATGAGTCTGGTTGTGAGGATTTTGATTTTCTTTAGGAGAGAGGGTGGCCAAAATTGCACACTCTCTGTAAAATAAAAATAAATGACAATGGTGTGTGGCTTCTTGGAATGGTTTAACATATGGAGAATTTTATTACTAGATGATAAAGTATGTGTTCTAAAGATGCTGAAAACGTCATGATATTACCTGGTATAAAATTATTCAGTTAAGAGAAATGAAATAAGTGACAGATTGGATCATAGACAGAAATGATTACAAGTATCCTCTTCTCCCAACTAAATGTGTGGAATTTGACATTTCCATCACTGAGGAAAAAACTTGCAAATCCATTCAAAAGAAGCACAAAGAATGCAGACGGAAAACCAATGTGGTCATCTTTTCTTTTAGAAGAATTAGTGCCAGACCAATCCCAAGGAGGTAGAGATTAAAGATGCCCCAAATATCTATTTCCTTGAGTATATTGCTTCTTGTGCCTGGGCTCTTCAATTCACTGCAACGTCCAATGTGACCGCATAAAAATTTGCAGAAATGTCTCACATGTGGGGGACGCTGTTCACGTCACAATCCAAAGGTGAAGCAGAAGCCAGCTATGTCAGTCTGGGTTGACTAGAGAAACACATTCATCTGTGTATAAGAAAGAGCTTTATATAAAAGAGTAATTGTATATTAAGAAAACATCCCAGCCCAGTCCAGATCAAGTCCATAAGTCCAATATTAGCCCATCTGTCCAATACCAGTCTGTACATTCCTCTTCAGACTCATGCAACACAAGCAATGACACTGAGTGCAGGAAGATCACAGGCCAGTGGGTGTAAATTCTTATGGATCCAGTGGCAGTGAAAGCATCTTAACGCTGGCATGGGTCTCCACATGGCTCCTCCATTTCCAAGGCTCTGGCTGCCTCCATGAGGCTTGTCAACAGGAATGTCTCACAAGGAGAGAGACAAGCAGAGAGACAGTGTGCCTGGCCTCTAGTGAGCTATTTATCTCCATCTCTTCTCCAAATTAGGTCATCAAGCTGGGACTTAATCGACAGGCTAGACTACACCCCTTCACAAATTGACAGATTATATAACTGCCACACCAGCCAAGTGCAGGGTCCAGAAACTGATGTAAAAAATGTACAAAAGTCAATGCAGGCTCTCCTTGCTTCTATCCGTATGGTAGTACCAGTATATATATCCCATCCATGGGATACTACTAAAGTAAAGTAAAAGATACCCCCAAGGAAACAAAGAGTGTGGCTTGGCTCATACCCTCTACTAAGGTGAAGTCTTAATCCCACCCTACTTCTGTCCATTAGTGTAGTAGAGAATGCCCCCCCAAATGGGGCTATAACCACAAGCTGCAGTATATCCAGAATTATAGTACATCACATAAGGAATTATGGCCATAAGGCCCATATGAATTGACGGTTACTCAACCAGATCTGTTAGGCAATGTCTGAATGATAGAAAATAGATTTTATCTCAGGGAAATACATGTCCATAGCCTGAAACACAGGAAAAGAACACTAGCCTCGAGAATCCCAGGGCTGGTATGTAGAAGAAACAGAGAAGAGCCTGGCTCATAGTTTGGGGTTGTTCACTGGGAAGTTGAGCTATGAGCATTCATCTGACCAACCTCAAGCTGCTTGTGACTACTGCTTAGCTCTTGAGAAGTGCTGATGGTCAAGACACAGCTCATGGCCCAGCTAAAGATAATCAGGGGCCAGGGCCCTCCCTCTCCAAAGACAAATGTTTCTATTCCCGCACACGGTCCTTCACTCTCTTTTTTTTATTATTAAATTTTATTTTTATTATTTAAATTTAAATTTTATTTAAAATTTAAATTTTATTATTATCATTTTATTGGGGGCTAGTACCACTCTTATCACCATCCACACATACATCCATTGTGTCAAACACTCCTGTATATTTGTTTCCATCATCATTCTCAAAACTCTTGCTTCACTCTTAAATACCCGGTGTAGCCGAGTTAAAAAGAACAGGCAGCCTTATAGTCTTTAAATAGCACCTAAATCCAAGATCGAGGTCAAGAACCAGAAAACATTTTCCAGAGCCCCGCCCTGACCGGAAGGCATCAAACGCAGCCAACAGAAAATACAGTGGTGGGAACTGTTAAAAGACAAAACATGATAAGAATCCAAGACAAACATGAATATTATTTTCAGAGAATGGCACAAAACTATTGTTTCCATAAAGGGAAACGCCATGAGAAAATTCAAAAGTTAAGATTTTAAACAAAGAGAGCTAGAAGTCCTTGCTATCTGGACTGAGCCATAAAACGGAAACATGGAAAGAGAGAAGTAGCAAGACAAGAAAAAAATGTGTTTGATTTTCCAGATGAAGTGTAGGATTATCCCCAAAGATAAAGAAATAGAAAGCGTGAGAGGAAAGACGACTGGTTTGACTACTGGATTCAGGTTGCAACATTCAACCACGAATCCCAAAGAAGGGCATGCAATAGAATGAGTTAAGTATTCAATTCAAGGACCCCCAGTAGCAATGAGGGCTGGGCATTGGGCTGCTGACTCCAAGGTGATCTGTTTAGACCCACGGCTGTCCCTGGGGAGAAGGAGGAGGCTGGCTGTCCGCTCCCATCGTGCTTCATAGTCCCAGGGACCCTTTGGAGCAGTCCTCATGCCTACAGGCTATGATGAGTCAGAATTTACTCAAAGGCAGTGTTTGTGGAGTTGGGGGATTTGTTTTGTTTTGTTTTTTGTGTGTTCATTTGTGTGGAAGTTACATGGTCTGATGTCAACTTGTAAAGG